AAAAAAAAAATATTCTCATTTCTACCAACTGTGTTGGACAGGAAATGTAATGAATGATGGGGAATCGGCTCCTTAAATTATCCTGAGTTTTTGTCGAGAATCATTTCGACTGCAACATAAACAACATGCGTAAAAATCTTGTAAAACGGGCATACCAATCAGTAGTAGCAGATGTGTTCACGCACTCTTTTCTTTTGTGTCGGCGCTGTTCTTGATCTCTTCCGTTCTGTCGCCTTCTCCGCTGCCTCAAAATACCGGGCGAACCGAGTACTAATTGCCTCGCTTCCTATCTGGATCGTTTCCACTTATATTTGGTCTTAATTTTGCTTTCTTCATTGTACATGGTACATTTTCACTTCCGATGGGGGTTGCAACGAGTACAGAGGAATAACAGATAAAATCAAGATCGCATACGATGAGGTGGACGAAAAGAAATCTTCTGTACAGCTTTTCCCATACACCTTCTGTTTGTAGCCTTGTAAACTTCCTTACCTAAAGAGTGGCTTTTGCTACGGGTGTTTTCATGCACAGGCTTCTGTTTTCGAAAATTTTGATAACAGTCCATCAGTCTTCGTCTAAAGTCCTAGCACAGAAAATTATATTTTAGACTTTTTCGTCTTCAGAGAAATTCAAGGGGTTTTTGGTGTAAAAGGTTTCTGGTTCTCCCGATAACGTTTATCTATCACTGTATAATCAAATAATCAGTCAGCGCACCGAATGCGGCTGCAAAGATGCGTTTTTTGCACAGTTCCCCACAGGTTTTTGTCGCTAGCAGCACCGGTTTTTCCGGCAGATGCTTCTAGCTAAAAGAATTGAGATTGGCCGCCACGATAGTGGGAAAACATTCCCTCAAAATTTTAAATTTCTACTTTTTCTGATTCCGGAGTTAGCAACTTAGCCGCCAAAAATTTTCACAGGCCCGTTCGTGGGAGCCACGCCCGTCTGGGGACGAGGTTTGAACTCATTAAGTCCTGTGTAAGCGGGGAAGATCTTAAAATTTCAGCTTCCTAGCTTGTTAGCTCCCTGAGTTAGCAACTTACCCTCCCAAAATTTTCACGAGCTCGTACATGCATATGGATTAAGTTCCCAAAGTTTCAGCCTTGTAGCTTTTTATGCGTTTTTGCCGTACACTTCTCGAGCGCTGCAACGGGCAGCAAAAACGCATATTGCAACAACTCTGTCTATATGTGTTTATGTTTGTGTGTATGTTTTCGTCTCCGGGTATTTCTACTCGCCAACCACACAAGCATTGATATTGAAATTTTGCCAGTATGTTCCCTGACCAAGTGCGACCCCGGGAACTTGATATCAACTGTCACACACGTTTGAACCTCACGGATTTGGCGGGAAAATTGCTAACTCGGGA